AGTTTGGTGTTGGTCGATACAAGGTTCTCGACAAGTTCCTTGTTGCATCTTTTATTTCTATCAGACACATCTAACCTATCCTTACCGATCCACATGTAAAGTTCGATTTTGACATACACCATGAGCCGTGAAGATTAGGCCTATGCTAACTTCACTAAACAGGCCTCGTATTTAACCTATATATTCAAACTATATTAACCATATTTTTCACAAACTGAAACTTCTACCCAGCGAAAACCATCAAAAGAGGATCTGTAGCGGTACAGCCTAGCCACTGATGGACTATATACGAAGTGGATTCATTGATTACACAAGTGCCCGCTCTCCTGGAAGAAAGTATCCAGAAGACAAGTACGATACCACTGCGCTTGAATGTCAAGGGCAAGTGAAGTCTTCAGTGACACGGTACTTTCAACTTATGGAATTCCCCGAAGCATAATTTAATAAGGCTTTCAAGCTTCTATGCTATTTATTATGAAAAATATTTCCAAACCGTTTGTAAGCTTACACTATTCAAAGAAATTCGCGTCCATAAAATGTCTGTTTTCTGAGCACTGTCCAGCAAAACGCGCAGCAGATTCCGTTGCTGTAAACACGTTCTACAAAGTTCTAGGGAAATGGCATCAGTGGGTTCCGCAGCAACATATGATATTTATCGGCGGCTCTAAAAGGGAAAGATTTCGCAGTGGTAAGTAAACATATCAAGATTTATGTTACATAATAATAGCATCCATATATTAATACGTACCATTTGATTGCCTACTGGAGGAAGCCCTATGGCACTTCCTTTGATAGCGATTGCGCGCAACAGCGTTCGTGCGTCAGCAGGTAGGTCAGGCAACCACGGTTTCAGAGCCTTGAGCAGATCGTTCAAGTGGGAATGCGGAAATTTCGACCGTAAAGCCCACTTTCGCAAACTTTCACGAGGGCTTGGATCTTCCTCCTCAACTTCTGCCTGATATATCAGGTAAGATCTGCAGAACGTCCTGCGCCGAATCTTTTCCGCCTCATTTTCTTGCTTGGTCATTCTTTTGGACACGCTCACTTTTGTTCAGCGGTCCAACGCGAAAGGGGTTTGTCCCGTTTTTGTAAAAAAATAATCACAGTTCGCCATTCTACCTGTTTTCCAGTCTATTAGATCTCTCTCGAGTTCATTTAAGGTTCGAACGATTGGGAGCGGCTTTGTTTCTCCCGTCCGCAGTCACGCTGGTTAGTTTTGTCCATACATTCAAGTAACTGGCATTTATCGTTTGTTTGTGGGGCCTCTTTTCAGTGAATATCATGCAAGGTCTTATTATCGGGTCCATGGTAAGTACTTGACGTCCATCTATTTCCAATTAATTTCTGTTAAATCTCGAAGCTTAATGCTTCTTCTAATACCTTCAGATTGACTGCGCGAATGTTATTACACTCTGGACTGGCGGTGGCTACGAACCGTTGTTGTTGCGCCTTGTTTCGAGGTGCCAATTTTCCGCAGCTGCATCCTTTTCCATCTGAAACGCGAGCTTAAATCCTGTTGGTCACTTTGTCTTGCCAGCGCCGGCTTTTTTGCAGTATGTACGTGCTACACTAGTTAACTGCGGGCCTTGATCTCCCTGCTGATGAACTTAACAAGCTTTGTTTTTACTATCTCGACTTCTTGCTGATAGTTCTTATCGCATTATTTGTAGCTCACTTTCACCACGTCTTTGATAAGGTTCACCCCTAATAGCAAAGCGAGCTCGTAGCAAGCTCGTAACGGGGGCGCAAATCCGCCTTTCGGTGCTCGTTTCGAGCTCTGGTTTGGCCAGGCAACCAAGCTCGATGCGCCCTCGGTTTTGCGCCCTCGTAACGGGCTCTTAAAT